TGCACGGATGCCGCATCGTCTCGTTCTTCGTGAGGACCTACCATAATGAAGTGGCCGACTGGCTCACCCGCGAAGAGGTCAAGAAGGTTCACGACACGCTGGCCACCTCAGGGTGGACGCGCCTAGAGCCCCCCGCAGCCTGGGGCCAGATACTGGAGGACGCCAAGGAGCGCCTTCTCAGGCTCCCTGGAGAGACGGGCCCCGTGGCCGAGGCTGCCCTTCGACACCGAGCACTTCAGCGAGGACATGGACTGCCGAGAGCTCTCCCGCTCCACGGGAAGCTGGGTCGAGAAGTGGGGAGCCTCATCAACCCGTACACGAAGGCCTTCAAGCGCCTCGGGGGATCGGAGCCCGAGGAGAACCAGAAGGTGGGATGGCTCATGGCGTCGCTGTCCCTGGACCCCAAGGGCCGGGAGATGGAGGCTTTCCTCGTCGCAGCTACTCAGGAGAGCCCTGAAGTGGTGGTCGTGGACGCCCCGACCGGGGTCGACACAGCCAGGTTCGAGAAGGCACTTAAGCAGCTGGGCTACATGGTCTCGAAGTTCGAGGTGGTCTGCACGCACCACGGGGACGCCACGACGCGGACCAGGCGGGTGCTCGTGGGCGGGCGTCGGAAAGCGGGGGTGGGCCTGGCGTGCATTAACATGCCGCCGGCCTGCTCCCGAGCTGCCAGCGTCAAGCCCCTCCTGGACAAGGGAAAGGACCACCTGTGGCTCGACCAACAAGGCGAGGTGTCATGGGACCCCCGCATCCAGTCCACCAGCGACCCCCTCCTCCTCAAGCCGGTCGGGCACCTCAAGAAGGATGGAGCGAAGCACCTGATCTACAGCGAGGAGGGGCCGGTGGGCACGATCCGCTGGCCTGGAGCGGAGCTGCAAGGACCCGGGGCGACGCTCCTCCGTGTCACCGGAGGGGGCGGAGGCACGGTCCGCGCCCTGACGCCCCAAGAGGTTTGGCGAGTGCAGGGAGGGACCAACGACGAGTGGACCCACCTGCGAGCCCAGGGCTTCACCGAGGACGAACTCCTCAAGGGCGCCGCCAGGGCGCTCCCGCCGAGGACCGCGAAGGCAGTGCTGACCGCGGTGACAGAGGCTCTCGACAGCACCAGCACGCAGCGGGCCGGGGTGTGCCATGACCCAGAGGAGCAAGCTGCGTGGGAGGCCACCAAGCGCTGGTTCCGCGCCTGGGCCCAGGCACCGGATCAGCCCGCCTTGGCACTGGCAGCAGCGGACGAGGTGAGGGCCGGAGGAGCGCTCACCGACGAGATGCACAAGAACCGCCGGCGCGCCCAGGCAGTCCGCTTCAAGATGATCGACGAGGACACGCTCATCGGACCCCGTGAGGCCCCAGCCGCCGAGAAGGTCAAGCTGGATAAAAGTGTGACACGCTCGAAAAGTCCTCGCAAAAAGAGCCCTCGGCGTGCCAAAGAGATGCCAGCCACCGACCTGGTGAGGCCGAAAGCGCTGGGCGTGGCTCGGAAGACCAACTACCCCGGGAAGGAGCTCGCCCCCGCCGGCCGCGCTGAGCCTGGCGGAGCCAACTACGCCGGCTGGTTCGCGCAGCAGAAGATGGAGGCCATGCTGCAGAAACTCAGTGAAGGCACAAGGGCAGGTTACGAGGGGGGATGGCGGCTCTGGGTTGCCGTGCGCCAGGCGCAGGGGCTCAGCCCTTGGCTCCCAGGGCGTGATCGCGAGGAGCGCCTGGCCGATGAAGAGGCGCTCATCAACTTCGCCGTCCTCTTAGCGCGGGTCGTCGGGAGGACCGAGGGGACCATCGAGCAGAAGCTCTTCGCGGTGCGCTACGCCCACCTGGTGGCTGGCTATTCGGACCCCCTGCTCCACAGAGGCCGCCTCTGGAGCACGCTGGCAGGGCTGAAGCGCTGGCAGGGGCCCGAGACCAAGCGGAAGAAGCCCGTCACGCCAGCCATGCTCGAATGGCTCCGCGGCTTTCTCCAGCAGGAGGCCAAGCTCCCCGAGGAGGATGCAGTGGTCATCTGGGCGGCCATCGTGACAGCGTTTTTCTTCCTCCTGAGGGCCTCAGAGTACCTCCTCCCGGACGGGCGCTCGTGGTCCTTCGAGCGCGTGCTGCACGGGGAGGACGTGGAGCCCAAGAAGGAGGGGAAGCGCGTGGCCAGCTTCCAGGACGCCGACGAGATGGTGATCTACATCAAGGGCAGCAAGACGGACCAGCTCAACGTCGGGACGGTGAGGAACCACTACCGCGCCGGCACATCGCTCTGCCCGATCGCGGCGATGGAGCGGCTCCAGGCTCACCATCCTCAGCGGATAAAGGGCGAGGAACGGCTGCCCCTTTTCCGCTGGGCGTCAGGTACACCGATCCGCAGGGCAGAGGTGCAGCACTTCCTGACGGTCGCGGGGCTGGCCGCCGGCCTCTCCAGGGAAGCAGCCACTCCCTGAGGATCGGCGGGGCAACTGCAATGTACCACGTGACCGAGGACCTCTCCCGAGTGCGCCGATTCGGGCGCTGGCAGTCGGACGCGTTCCACGGCTACCTGTGGGACTCGCACGAGCCGATGAAGGGCATCTCCGGCAAAATGGCCAGGGGCAACTCCTCGTTGACCAACCCGGCGAAGGACAGCGCCCCCAGCAGAGCTGCCGCCGGCGCCGAGAGCGCCAGGCGCGAGAGCCCATGAGAGGCCGCAGCGGGCGCCGCCGGTGCTTACGCACCTGGCGTGCGCCCAACCCAAGCCGCCGGCTTCACGCCGTGCGTGCTTGGGCGCAGCCACCAGCCACCTGCCCCGCCGGCGAGTAGCCGCGCGCTCGCAGGGTACACCCGCCCGTGCCTTCAGCACTGGCTAATACCTCACGGCAAAAGCATGCGTGCAGGTCCGTCCATCAGGGCCCCACTAGTGCCTGGGATACTGTGGGTCCCCTCGCAGCCCTGGACGAGGATCACGCTGGAACCCGCCTGGCACGCCGGCTCTCCATACCAAGCCTGGGCGTGCCGGGCATACAGGCGCCAGCTGTGCAACAGTAGCGCTGGCAGTCTGACGGCCCGGGTGGCCGCAGCGCTCGAATTCATGCGCAGGCGCGGGCCCGCGCCCCAGCGCCGGCCCGGGGAACCCCCTCTGTCAGGGGCCGGACCCTGCCCGCCCCGTGCACTTTGGGCACTTGTGGAGGCGGGGAGCCGGGAGATCTGGAGGCCGCGGCGCAGACGGGGACGCCAAGTGCCGGCCCGCGCCAAGCGCCAGCGATGACACCCTCGGGCCTCAGCCCGAGGTCGGGCTCCGCCGGCAATCAAGGTACCGGCGCGAGCCCAAGGCCTAGCCTCACGGAGGACAGCCGCGCACGCCGGCATCAGTTGCCTGGCGGCAGTCGGCAGACAGAGGGCCAGTCGGGCCCTCGCACGCACGCCGGCGCACACGCCAGGCGGTGCGTGACTCAGTGCCTAGACGGTGCCGGCAATGCAACGCCTGGCACCCAGTTTTGGCGACGCCCATCAGGGCGCCCACACGGCACGCCGGCGCGTAGAACCCGCCAGGCGGCCAGTGTGCGGGGGCACTGGCAGCAGCACCCGTATTATAGAACAAAGGCGGCGAGGCCCGCTTCGCGTGGCGGAAGGAGGGGCCCGCCTGGCGTTTACCGCCGGCGGGAGGAGCGTGCGGCCAGCGCAGCAGCAAAATGGGGGGGGCTGCACCGCTGCCGCCATCATCGTCATCGTCTCCTGAGGGCCCGCCTCAACCGCTTCGCGGCTGGCACGTCCCGCGGCCTTAAAGCAGGCCGCGCTTTCGCTAGCGCCGTACTGTGGGGGCGGGGTCTTAGTTGTTTGTCCTAAACGGTTGGACCCCGCCCTCCCCAGTCGGCTTGGGTTTCCTCTCTCCCTGCTCCTGCCTCTGCTTGCCCTTCCCCTTCCCTCTCTCCCGCTCAAGCCTTCGGGGCTCAAAGCCCTCCCAGGGCCCAAAGGGGCCCTCTTTTGCCCACCCACCCTGGGCTTTGCCTCGGTGTCCTACGGCACCGGCGGCGTAGCCCGCTTCGCGTGGCGGAAGGAGGGACCCGCCTGGCGTGTCACCGCCGGCGGGAGGAGCGTGCGGCCAGCGCAGCAGCAAAATGGGGGGGGGCTGCACCGCTGCCGCCATCATCGTCATCGTCTCCTGAGGGCCCGCCTCAACCGCTTCGCGGCTGGCACGTCCCGCGGCCTTAAAGCAGGCCGCGCTTTCGCTAGCGCCGTGCTGTGGGGGCGGGGTCCATGTGTATTTTACGTTGTAAGCATATATCATATCTCTATATATGTATACACACATATATATGTATATATATATAGATGTATACATTGTCGAAATGGAGGTCTGGGAACACGCGTCGCGCCTCCTGTCGGCGGCCCCCCAGCCACTTCGGACCTCTGGCTCCTGGATGGGGCCCCCGACTGCGCTGGCGGCCGCGGTGCCCCCTTCCTGCGCAGCCCCTTTGTCCTGTTCTTTTTTTTTTTTTTTTTTTTTTTTTTTTTTTTTTTTTGTTCTTTTTCTCTCTCTCTCTCTCTCTCTCTCTCTCTCTCTCTCTCCCTCTCTCTCCTCCCGCTCGCTGCGACGACGGTCGACGCGACGCGCGCATGCGAGGCGCGCACGAGCACGCACACTTTTTATAGGTACACAACTAACAACTTCTCCAGCAGTGAAACGTAGAACGCCCCTCCTTTGTGGATGCTCTTGGCGACAGTACCGAGGACTCTGTTCTCGCCCTCGTCTAAGTAAGTCCAAAGGAAACGTGGGTGTCCTAATAAACGAGAGCGCTTGGTAATGTGGTAGCACATGCGATGTTTGAACACCATGTGCGCGCCCGACGCTTTGTAGCACTGCAAAAACCTGAGCATGTGAGATTCCATATGGCGCTGAAGATCTGCAGTCAAGTACCTCGGAGAGGTATATACAAGCCTTTGTAACCCCACGAACTCCTGGCAGGCCAATGGGAGCATTATTGATGCACCCTCTCTGAAACACTCAACATTCTCCGAACAGATGATCGGGAGAAGGGGCACCAAGTGCTGTGTCTCATTAGCTTTTGCGTGCAGGGCCATCTCATCCTCACGCGTACTCGATCCGAGCATTTTGAGCGTTTGTCGATCAACTCTGGAACGGCCACGATCCTGAAATATATTGTTTGAAAGATAATACGACCTGGTTCTCCGTCTAAGATGCATAATGTTGTCTCTGAACCTGATAACTTGCGTCGTGGCCTGACGTTTTGCAAAGTTCCCCCGGATAAGCTTCTAAACTACAACTGCAATCAGGCGCTGGCTCGTCCCCAGGTCGCATATGCGCATAAGATCAAGTGCTAGCATTCCCATGTGGAACCCAATGATGCCAAACACTGGTGCTACAACATTTAAGCCTGCGTCGTTCCTAGTATTGAAAAAATGAGTTCCACGGGTTCGCCCCTGACGATGTTGATGTGCTGAAGGGCGTGGGTGTCAGCGACGCGTCCCCTCGGGATGAGCCGCCGCCCCGCTTCGAGGCCGAATTCGGGGATGGCCCGCCAGGTGCCATATCCCCAGAGAGCGTCGTCGCGCCTGCAGGAGCGAAGGATTATGTTCAGTTGGGCGTTGCTCCGTACGATGATTTTCTGAATGCAGGATCTGACCATTTGTTCATAGCGCTGCTGGTCTTTGTCCACCCACGTGGATGAGTCCACGGCCAAAGGAAAATCAAACATGCCGTCCTTCGTCGCGTTGCAGCGCAGGCACGGGTTCAGCACATTGCCCCACCTCGCGAAGCCCAGCGCGGAGATCAGCTCGAGCATGTCTGCCCTGAGCTCCGCGAGGGCCGCGCAGAGCCCCCCCGCAAGGGGGAAGTCCCGCACGGTGCGCCTCCACTCGCTCACGAACGGGGCCCCGTCGTGCGCGAATTCCGGAAAGACTCCCGTCGCCATGACGTTGATACTCCACACAATAACAGCCAATATAGCGCCGAGCGTGCACATACCCCTGCACGCGCACTGGCAGAGGTCTTGCTTTCGCACAATACAAATCGCATGCCTAACGCAAGTTTTACAGCTATTCCAGTACATGCAGATAATAGTATCGCGTTTCGTGTGTGGGACCCCGTCGCTATAGAAGCCAATCGGAAATGACAGCGCGCGGCCCTTCTGGACAGTGACCTCATGCGCAGTGAAGTGCGCTGGTAGGTCCTGGTCGCTCACGTGTGTCAGGTCGTAGCTCTCTGGATTGTCGGCCCACGTCTGGTGGAAGCACTCATGTGGGAGATGGATTAGAAATTGCAGTTCTGTGCGCCGCTCGCTTGCTGGATCCCAGCCAAGGATTGTAGTTGTGTAGAAGCGTTCTCTGGACTGGAAACGGAGCGCCTGGCTGTCTGAGATGATCTGCGCGATGCGCTCCAGCCTGGGTCGGGTCCAACGCCAGGTCCCCGCAGCCCACGCCACCCGCGCGCGCGCTGTGCCACGCCGCCGTGCAAACGTCCTCGATCGGTGAACAGTTGCCCCCGACCGTTGTTGGATTCGTTTTCAATTGGGGAGCGGGGTCGAAAGGGATCTCTCTAGAACGAGCTGCCATGGATCGAACAGCACATGTGCAGTTCGATCCACGACTGGAGGATACCCCCTGGACACGTCGATCGGGCGCAACTGGTCAACGCCCCTCCTTCGCAGTCATCTTGCCCTCGCTCCATCTGCCGAGCAGATAGCGTCGCAATCCGATGCCGCTGTCGCCCTGCAGGCCGCAAATCGGCCAGAACAAAAGGCGCCCCACAGCGCCGATGGCCATTCTTAATTTCGCCACCCTCTCCTCTTAATCTCTCCTTCTCTCTCTCTCTCTTTCTTTCTCTCTCTCTCTCTCTCTCTCTCTCTCTCTCTCTCTCTCTCTCTCTCTCTCTCTCTAGTCTCGGCTCGAGAGTGCCCAGCACTCAGACCGCAGCCGCGACGCGAAGCGCCCCGCCTCGGAGTCAGACTCCCAGGCCTCGCGAGACCGGAGGGGTCCCAGCAGGACCCTACTGATTCGCGCCACCTCTCCTCACCAGAGCGCCCGCAGCAATGGCCCCCAAGAAGCCGGAGCGCCGTCGCTCTTCTAAGCAGCCTCCGAGTTCCCGTCCCACGCGCCCTGCTGCTGAAGGGTCTCTCCTTCAACGCAAGCAGGACTGCATCGCAGCGTTCAAGCAAGCGGGGTCTGACCGCCCCACGGCCGCATACAACGGGCTTGCCGAACTGAACGCGGACGAGCTCCAGGCAACGCACGACATGCACAAGTCCAACACGAAGAAGCTTGGCAGCGCCCTGATCCGCATGTGCGCCGCCAACCAGATCAGCTACACGCTTGATCATCATCAGCGCAGCAAGCCTAAGCGCATTGGCGGTGACACATCACACCCACCAGCGGGTTCCGCACGTCTTCAGGCTGCGGACACCCAAGTCATCGCCTTGGACCCGGCCTTCTGGAAGGTCCCCGTCCTCGCCGAACCCACATCACCTGACGACGGCAAGACGTACAAGCCCAGTATCAGCCTCCACGACTACGAGAGCGGTGAACGGCTGCTGCAACACCACCTCGAGCAGGGCAAGCGAGCCACGGGTCAGCTCGCGATTGCTGTCATGGGCCCAAAAAACGACAACTACGTCGGTACCGAGCTCGCCGTCCCCGTCCTGAAGCGTCACCCCAAGGCGCCCAAAGTGGTTCACACGCACGTCCCCG